TGAGCAAGAGAGAACTGGCGGTGATAAATAAAACCTGTTAATTAAAAACGTATTCTTCTGAGACAACAATGTTCTCCTAATCCCTGCTGGCACAGGCTTGTGTCAAATGTGTGTTTTCCAGGCTGTGACGGGTTCACGTCAGCCAGGAGCAGGGCAGGACGACGGAGCCCAGCCCTGACATCTGCTCGCCTTGCTGGCTGTGTCCTGTGATCTGGCCCCTGCCTCCCTCTCAGACTCGGAGGCCTCAGTGGTCAGACTCTTCCCCTGGTCCTCTAAAGCCCTGGCCACCCTAGGCAAGCTCTGTCCCGCTTCCCGGCGTTTGCTGTTGCGGTTTCCTCGGCCCAAAATTCCCTCCCACCAATCCTTGCACGCTGGCTGACCCACTCACTTAGTCACTACTTTTAAAATTTTTATTTTATTTATTCTTTTAGAGAGAGGATTTCTCTATGTCATCCAGGCTGGAGTGCAGTGGCACGATCCCGGTTCACTGCAGCCTTGACCTCCTGGGCCCAAGTGATCCTCCTGCCTCAGCCTCCTGAGTAGCTGGAACTACAGTTGTGTGCCACCATGCCCGGCAAATTTTTTAATTTTTTTGTAGATATGAGGTCTTGCTATGTTGCCCAGCCTGGTCTCGAACTCCTGGGCTCAAGTGATCCTCCTACCTCAGCCTCCCAAAGCACTTGAATTACGGGCAGGAGCCACTATACCTGGCCTTAGTGGACACTTTGTAAGGTCACCTCCTCAAGTGTCAGAGAGATTCACTCTGACTGTGATGTCTACTGTGGGCACCTGTACCCAAATATCCCATCCAGATCACCCTGTTTTATTTCATTTCTGGCCCTTCTCACTATCGAAAATGATCTTTATGTGCCTTTTTCCAGGTGATTTATCACAGCCACTGAGCTCTGCTCTCTAGGACAGCAGGGACTTTGTCTAGTCTCTGGTGTATCCTCAGCTCTTAACCTTGTGAAGGGATACAGTAGGTGCTCAATCCATGCTTGTGGGGAGATTAGAAAGACTTCACAGGAAGGCAGGAGCAGCACCACCTGAGGCTTCTTCCCTCCAGAGGGGCAGCCCTGTGCTTTGGTGAGGACCCTGCAAGCCTGTTAAGGGAGGTGGGTGCAGCTCAAAGCTGCGGAGAGTTCAATGCATCAGCAGGGGCCACTGAGGAGGCGGCTTGAGGGAGAAACAGTCACGCTGAGGCCCAGGCTGGAGCCCCACACCCATGTGGAACAAACAGTCATCCTGCCTCGTATTTCACCGCTATCTGACTGTCTTGACACCAGCAGGGTTCTAGGTTCTAGGCCAGAACTGGAGTAAAGGCTATCGGGTAGCAAACAGGTTCCAACAGTGAGCCTGGGACACCTGGGGAAGTCGCAGCCCTCAGGGCCAGGCAGGACCAGAGCACAGGTATGACAGAGGCTCTGGAAAGCCAGGCACATTCAGAGCCATCTGTGTCACAACCAGGGCAGCCCAGGGAGCCTCTACCCCAGACCTCAGGGCCGAGACCTGGCACCAACTAGGAAAGAACAGATGTGGAAGCCTGCCACAACTATGGGCCACACAGGACCATGATCAAGGTCTGAAGGGCTGCACCCTGGCTCCAGGAGCATCCTGTGTGAATAGCTAAGATCAGCATGGACCCTCGGGGAGGCCCTGGCTGGTGGAGACAGCTGGGAGTCCCAGGCAGCAGAGGGAACAGTAGAGCGTGTGTGTAGGGACAAGACTCCAGGCAGTGAGGTGAACAGGGCCACAGAGGCCCGCACTGCCCAGGAAATGCCTTACCCGAGACTGGACTATGCGGGAAATGTGGCAGCTTTGTTCCCTGGCACACTCTGTCTTGCATATTCAGGAGGCCAGGTTGGACAGTGACATCAATCCCAAGGAGTGTCCTTGCCTAGAGAGAGCAAATCAACCCATGCAAGTCTTGGGACACCTGTGACGCATGCCCCAGGGACAGATGGTGGCGCAGTGGTGTCTTATCGAGTTGTCTCACCTGGAGGGTTCAGCACTGGGCCTGGCAGCAGATACACCGAGCACCGTTTGCTGAGTACGTTGGTTCCTTTCTTTCTGCCCATGCCCTGTACAGAGGTCCACGCAGAAGAGCCACTGACTGCAAGCTCCTTCCACAGCCGCGCAGTCATCCTGGTTGTAACTGCCTGGGGCTACCCAAAGGGAATGAGCCCCAGCAGTGATTTTCTGTTGTCCTGTCCGTGGTGTTGGACTCCCACCGTGGCTCCCCACTCTCCAGGCAGACTAAGAAGGCACCTTAGAGTCATAAAACCCTTTGGGGAAATGGAATCTCAGGGCCCTTCCCTGTAGCCCCTCCGTCCACCTACACCTGCCCTGGGCCAGGGCACTCAGTCAGCTCATGCCCAGCAGGGAGCCTCCCCTGTCTGGGTGCAAATTCCCTTTCTTTCAGCAAAAGGGAACTGAGAAGAGAGATTCCTTCAGAGGCCTAGCAGCTGCAGGCAGACACAAAGGGGTTGCTTTAAATGTGGTTTATTTCCCAAGCAGCTGTGATGGTGAAGGGAGAGCACAAACTTCCTGTGTTCAGCACCAGGTAGGAGCAAAGGGAAGATGAGGTCCCCCAAGGAGGAAATGTCACTGCTTTTCAAAGAGGTTTTCACACATCCAGCTCCATGAAAGACATCCTTCTCCCTTCTCTTTTCCAGACCACATTTTTGGAAAAAAAAAAAATCTACTTTGTGTATGTGTGGGGTGTGGGGTGTGAGAGAGATATTCCTTTTTTGTGTCTAAATCTCACAGTCCACATATGACTTTCCCCACTTGAGAATTCTCTCTCATCCGTGGAACTTCCTGCATTCTATAAAAATATAAATAAATAAATTTTAAAAAAGTATAAAGCCAATGCCACGAGACCCTTGGGTTGGGCAACGCCTGTGAAGTTTGAACCGGTTAACGCACAAATACAAGGGAGCGATTATTACAAGGCCATCCCGTTTAGCATCGGGGAATCATTTGGGGAGAGAGATTCAATTTCATAAAAATGATTTTCAAGGGCTGTTTTGTGAGTCGTAGAATGTTGGGTATTTTTTTTTTCCCTTTCACCAAAATGAATAAAAACTTTATGTTCAGTGCGGTACTTAGGTATTGGTTTTGTTAATTTCTTAAAACAAATTGGCTCCCCAGTAAATCCCAAACTTGGACAGCCACATTAAGCTAGCAGTAGGGAGGCAATCTGAACATGATTATCCTGCAAGAGAATTCCCAGAATTTCATCCAAACTGTGATTTGTTCTGTTATAAAAGGCCTATAAAACCCAGTCTCGAAATTCCTGCAGGAAACTCAAGTGTTTAAATATCTGCGATTACTCTCTCATGATTAAAGAAAGATATGAAGGACGGGGCATTAGCACACAACAGAAAGTGCGAGGTGTGGAGCAGGCGATAAATCACCCAGGACTGTGACACTGGCGGACCTTGAGGCACGTCCACAAATCAGCTCGTGGCTGGAGACTCTTAACCGGCTGGCAGGGGTGAAGGCTGGGGAGGGACACAACACGCCCTGCTCCAGGCTGCTGGGGACGAAGGGAGGCCCTGGTGGCCCAGGTCCCTACCACGATAGAGCTCAGCATCTGCCATGGTCACTGTGCTTTCTGCAGAAGCAGGGTTTGAAGACTGTCATGCATAAACACGTGCCTACCTCGCCAGTGCGTCGTTCACTCACTCACACCACGTGTCTCAGCTCAGCCAGAGTCCTCGGACTCTGTGTGTGGTGCCGTATCAGGCCCCATGCACAACGCTCCTGAGAGGCCTTGGGTGCTGTCTTTTCTCTAAAGCTCCACCTTCTAAGTGGTGAACTTTAAAACTGTTCCCTTTGATAACATGGATGAGTAACACCTCTGAGCTGACCCTGTCATCCCATGCTACAGGTCAGGGAGCTGAGGCCCCGCCTGGCAAGGAGACCAGCTCATATTTACCAAGTGAGCTCCCAGCAGCTTTGGGAGGAACGCCCATCCTTCTTATTGCTTGCCTTCATTGCATTTAGGAAAGCACCCATCTTCTTGAGAGTCCCGGCTGAACCAATGGGGATTGTCTTTTTAGCTGGAACTCTCCTCCTGCCTCACATGCTCCCTGCCCTGCTGTCTTGAGACTCTCTCGTTAAAAGGCGCCTTAGGGAATGAACCCAAATAACTGTCTGTCGTACCCCCGAGAGTCTGGGCTTGTGGTGGGGTGGCATATCTGCCTGTAGCAGCATCACCTCTGTGGTTTCACAAGGCTCACGGGCAGCCCCTTCCTTCATGGCCCTAGTTTATGGGAACAGCTCCAGACCCTATTCCTAAAGCACCACCTCTTTCTTCCCTCTGCCATCACGTCCTGCAATTACCAACTCCAGTTTACTCTTCTGATACCTTTAGAACGAGTTCCTCTATTAAGCCAGTGCTTGGGCTGATGACACGGGTGACACAAAGCTCTTCGGGGTAGGAGCTGTCCATTCCCTGCCGCTCTCCTCCCGGGCACACCATGAGCACCTATAGAATGTATGTCGGAGTGAATGAGTCAGTGGCCTTAAAGGTCATGCTGTTGATTTTCCACTTCACCTTGGAGACCGTATGTTGAATACGTTGGTTAATTCAATCCCCTTTCTCCTCCCTGGCCTTCTGAGAAGTTGAGCAGGGCTGCATTTGAGGGCTGTTTTCCGTTGGAGTAGCAGCCCGTTTGCCTGGAAGGCAAGGAAGGGCTCCAGCTACCTGGCTGACCTCAGAGGGACCAGGGTGGTACTGGCAGCTGGCATCTGATACAGTTGGCTGGAGTCGGCATTTTTGGACATGTTTCCTCTCATTCCGCCAGCTCCTTTGCTCCTTCCCTCTCTCTCCGCCTCTCTCTCCCCATCATCCAGCCTCCTGGAAGTTGAAACAATATTTTGAGGGGTCAAAGTGGAGGATAATGGGAGACCATGGAAACACACACAGCTCAGGATAGCATAAGTCCCAGAATGCCTGCGTAGGTCACAGATGACAAATGGCAGAGCCCTGTAGGTGTGCAATCTATTTATTGATTTCAAGCCCTCCCTCCTCTTGTTCTGTAGGCCTCCAGGGAGAGAAAGTCACAGATTCTTAGGGCTGAAATTGTGCAGGAAGGACATAGCTTTCCTATTGGCCAGACATCTAAGGCTGCTGGGCCAAAATATGGAGCCCATTACGGGGAAATCTGGTTCGTGTTTCCGATGGAGGCACAGAGCCCCGCTTGGACTGAAGGCCTGGGTCTCTGTGTTGCTGGCACAGGCTGACAGCAGCAGGAGTCCCTTCTTCCTGGCCACCTGGTATACCAGGGTAAGGGCCCTGGAACCATGCAAATAAAGGGAATAATAATATTTAGCAAGGATTGCAAATTTGCTCTATGCTGGGAACATTTTTTCAACCCATTTGCATTTACTGATGTATTTAATCCCCACAGTTCCCACGAAGAATGGAGTTCGTGTTTTTATTCCCAGCTGTGTGGCCTGTAACAGGTCGCTGAGCCCTGCTGAACCTCAGTCTTCATATGTGTAAAATAGAATGATTTCACATCCCCCTCATCCAGCCTAAGTGAAGAAAAAACAACAACAACAACAACAACAACAAAAAAAAACCTCTTCATAAGTACGAAACTTCTCAAGCCATTCATTCTTTCTAGAAATGTGCCCTCTAAAGATATGGAAAAATTAGGCCCGGCATCACAAAAGGAAGAAAATGAGCATTTGAGGCTTGAAATTACAGGGAGACAACTTTTTTTCTGTAAAGGGCCGATAAGAACGCTTTGTGAGTCATATTGTGTCTGTTGGGAAAACTCAACTCTACAGACTGAAAACAGCCACAGATAAACCGATACATAAGGGTGTGTGGTTCTGTCCACATAATACTTTATTTACAGAAACAGGCCAGGGAAGAGGCAGACTGAATTTGGCCAACAGGCCATTGCTTGTTGACCCTTTCTTAAACCAACAAGGCACGTTTCCCATCCTGTTCACAGCACATCCACCATAAAAATGAGTTATGACGAAGTGGTTCAGAGACATAGAAATCAAATACTGTCATCTTCCCTCTGCCGGCTTTTCATTTTAGGGATGTATAAACAAAATGAGGTGACGCTAATCAGCCTGTTTGAACTACCAACAACTGGAGATGTCTAATTCACATAAGTGGATGAGCCTGGGGTTTTAATCTTAAACATAGAGAGTTCATGAATGTAAGTCCCTGGCATGGTTTACTGAATTATAATTGACAAAAGGAACAGTAAAAATAAATTAATGCTAACCTGAGTGATCAATTTCCCCCTGAAGTACCATGCGGGATTACTCTGCACATTTACTTCATTTCTAAGGCTTTCTTCTGACACTCTCAAATCCTCTACCGTAGGCGTTGGAATTCCTTGTACTACACTGGGGTGATGGTACCATGTTTCAAAGTTATTCAGAACCTGATTGGCCGTGTTCCTGCAATACATTTTCCTAACCTCAAGATAAAGATCCATGCATCTCTTTACCCTTTAAACAAAAAAGCTATTGTAATAGCATGTAGTCTGAGGCATGGTCTGAATACCAAAACCTGTACATGCACTGCTAAACTGTTTAAGTATGGAAGAAGTAGTGTCTAATAGCATCAGGAAATTGAAATTTAAAAATTTTTCTCACTCACTTATTTGATGAGAACTGGGTATGCTGACAGGTGAAGCAGAAAGCCATTTTTCAAGTTAAATGCCAAGTGGTTATATAGCATAATATTCAGTCAAAATTAACCACCTCACTGCTGCACTGACACCCAGCATATTTAATGCCAACTGTTCTTGCAAAGAAAACGGCAGACCTCTGGGAGTGCCTGCAGAAGGAGAAAGAAACTGTTACTAATACTTCAATTATTTAGGGGGTGCCCCAACTCTCTGAGTGGGAAAAATGGACTCACCAGCAGCGACACTGACTCTCACGGACGCCACAGAGGAAAATCGCTCAGTGTCTTCCAGGGCCTTCTGGGTCTGCTAAGCCAAACCCCAGAAATTTCTGAATTTACATGGGCCTCAGGCAGTCTCCCTACAGGCAAACACTTTTGGAAAAAGCAGGTGGATTCCTGCCTGCTGGCACAGGTGCTGGGGAGGCTGTTTTTCTAAGTTAGTTTCCTAGTGACTGCCAAACAAGGTTCCCCAGCTTCCAGGGAGCAAATGATGCCTGTGCCAGAGGACAGCAGATCCAGGGGCCCAGAGTAGCAGGCAGAAGGCAGGCATCACTTGGTAGGATTCAGATTCCGAAGACTGGCTTGAGAACTCCCATCTCGGAAGTACGTGGAAGGGCAAAGACAGCCTTTGTTGGAAATTCTAGCAACCCTTTTCCTGGACTGATTTTATTTGTGAAGACGCACTAATATTTCAGCTAACAGCCCAGGGAGTGTATAACTCGAAAATTCCAACCACAAACAAAAACGCGCAGTGGAGTCTACTCCCAGCTTTAAATCCCAGGCAACCCAGTAACCAGAGGGCCACTGCTTTTCCTCCTGCAAAGGTAGGGAAATTCATCTGTAAAGTGCAGTGCCCCATGGTGGCTCCTGGGTGCCCCAGGACCTGCCAAGAGCAAGGGGAAAACCAGGCTAGATCCAGATCCCTCCCCTCCCCTCCCCTTGCCTCTCTTCTCCTCTCCATAGAGGGAATTTATCAAATTCTTCCTACCAGAAATATAATCTTGAACCATTTCATTTCTTCAGCTTTTCATTTCCCCATGTGCTGTTTTATGGGCTGCTCAGAGCCACTCTGAGAGACAGGAAGGTGGAGGTTATTGGGGTCCTCTGGTACCAAGTGCACAAGCAGATCCACTGAGGAAGGTGAGGAAGGGCTATGGGTTGCTCACATCATGGCATCTACTGCGGGATGAGCCAAGCCCAGTATCCTGGTCTCTTGGCTTCTAAACTGATGTGCCATCTTTTGAAGATAACCAACATTTTATCTTTTTTTTTTTTTTTTTGAGACACAGTTTCACTCTACCACCTAGGCTGGAGTGCAGTGGCGCTATCTTGGCTCACTGCAACCTCTGCCTCCTGGGTTCAAGTGATTCTCCTGCCTCAGCCTCCAGAGTAGCTGGGATTATAGGCGCCTGCCACCACACCTGGCTTTTATAAAAATTTTATATATATATATATAATTTTATATATTTTATATTTTTATATATTATATATGTTATATATATTTTTATATTTTTAGTAGAGACGCGGTTTTGCCATGTTGGCCAGGCTGGTCTCGAACTCCTGACCTCAAGTGATCTACCCACCTCAGCCTCCCAAAGTGCTGGGATTACAGGCATGAGCCACTGTGCCCAGTCTAAAATAATCTTTAAAAAATAAAAACAACTAAGAAAATTGTTTGTGTGAATTTTTGAGAACCTGGAGAATACCAAAAAATTAAAGTAAAATTTAAAACAAATAGTATTTCTAATCCCAACATCTACTCACAGGTATTAACTCATAGGTTTATTTCTCTTCATCCTTTTTTCTGTCTGTGAGAGAAAAAGAGAGAAAAAGAGAGATTGGGGAAGGGACATTCCTTTTCACTGAATTTAAAATTATGTGCATTGTATATGTCATTAAAGTTACCTGCAGACATCTTTAAAATCTATCATGTATCCTAATAGAGCCAATCTATAGTGTTGACCATTTAGGTTGTTTTTAACTTTATTATTTTTGTTCCTGTTTCTCTTGTAGCTTGGAGCATGTCTGTGCATAATTTGGTATCAGCCATTCTGACCATTTTTTGTAGGCAGATTTCTGAATGGTAAATTACCAAGTCAAGGGGAAGGGGCAGTGGTCATTTTAAGACCCTCGACTGTCTCTCCAGGTCAAATCTCAGCTCTCCTCCAAGAAACTCGGGCCAGTTTCACTGGCCTCGTTCAGAATGACTCACACCTGGCACAGGACCCTTTTGAGCAAGACAGTGGTTCTCAACCTCAACTTGGACACTCCTGATATTTGGGGCCAGAGAACTATTTGGTGTGGGAGTTGTCCTGGCCATTTCTGGGTGCTTAGCTGTATTTCTAGACTCTACCCACTCAATGCTGGTAGCACCCTCTCATCACCTAAAATGGTTCCAGAGATTGCCAGATGTCTCTAGAAGGAAAACCTCCCCTGGGTGAGAACCACCAGGCTAGACCCTGGTCTGGGTAACACTGGCAGATGGATGGGTTAGTAACCTAGTGATGGAAGGCAAGTCCCATTCCAAGAAAAAAGTCAGAGAATTCTTCCCAAATTAAGCCTTGCTGTTACACATAGAGCTACACATTCATCAAAAAACCATCCCTCTATATAATTAGTGCTTCTTTGTTTCCATGGCATTGTACATGTACATCTATACTGCTTTATAATTCCTTATGTAACATTGATAATTTATTACTTATTTTTTGCTCTTCTGTTAGTCCTGTGAATCTCTCGGGACAGTGTTTCTTATCCATTTCCTTGAGTTTGACACCTAACATAGAGTGGATTAAACTGAATGAATGAACGAATAAATCTGAGCTGAGTAAGAGCTTCTCTTACACATACATGTGTGCACACATATACACACAAAGGCATACACATGCACACGTGTGTGCACATTTATGCACCAACAGAAGCCTTGGAGGAAAGGAAGGGCTACCAACTACAAAGGCATCTGTTGCTTTTGACTAGATGGTGATAGCTAAGGGTAAAATTTCTCTATGTAAGCACTACAAATTTCCCAAATCTGCATAGAATAACATTTGGGGAGTCAGGAGTAATGTATTTTCCAGTGAGGTAGGGCCCCTACTTTTAAATAAGGGTACTTAGGGTTGTCAAAGGAGAAAAGAACTTTCTCTATTGCTTTAAGAGACAATTGACTGCATCATTAACAGATGTCGTTTAATGGAAAATCCTGTTATTTTTGGAGGAAGAAATGCATATTCCACACTAAATATAATAACAACATAAACCTTTAATAAATAATTGTAACAGTTTATAAATATTTAAGTAGTAAATCTGAAAGTCCTGAGGGACAGGAGGAGGCTGGGAGGGAAGTTCTGACTTGAAAGCACTAAAAATAGGTCCCGACACATATATTGTTAATCAATCTTTCTTTCTTTCTTTCTTTCTTTCTTTCTTTCTTTCTTTCTTTCTTTCTTTCTTTCTTTCTTTCTTTCTTTCTTTC